ATAAATACAGTAATCTGATTGGACAATAAAACTTGATTCTAGTGATTGACCAATCAGATGACTGGAACACTAAAAGTTAAGTTTTCGAGAATAAGGTCCCTGGGTACCAAGGTCATGTAATTTTCTAGTTTTTAGTGACATTCTCGGTGGTAGTAACATATGTTAATAGACACAGGAGGTAAAACTTCCCGATGAAAATTGAGATTGATGAATATTACTTGTGAAGAATTGTCACCAGTATCTCCTTATTTTACATATATATTTTACAATAAACAGCAGGACATGTTTGATGCAGACTGTTTACAATTCAGATACTATTTAATTATGATAAACTCTCATTCGATATGGATCTTCTCATTCATGTTTTCAATGGTTGTTATACCCTATAATAAAAACCTGGTCATTTCAGAATCCATATTCAGTCATTTGACCATTTTGATATCTGATTATTTGGAACCAAAAACATTTGCTCGACACCCTCCTAGGATTACTTTTTCTCGCGCTTTTCTGCACTTTCTCGCCTTTTCTCGCCTTTTTTCCTTCTTGAATTGTCTCCCTGTCCCTCACTTTCTCGTCGTCGAGAAGTCGAGAGTAGAAATTGCCACCAACGGCTTCCATAGTTGACCAGCTAGAAAGTGTCAGTACCGGGTTTACTTCCCGGTCAACTGGATGTACCAAAGCGAACAATGACCAACTGGACACACTTCAAGTTGTGAAAATGATTGTCCACTACTACACAACCTCTACTCCTGATTTCGCCATACTTTGAAGGAGATTTTGATTAACGGAATTATCTTGTGTGGATTTTTATTGACCATGTATGAAAGCAAACAGTGTAATTCTGGTTGAGTTTAGAGACAGTGGTGTTAGTATGACAAATAATACACCTCTTCCCTTACGGGTGATAAGGCCGGGTGATACCAGAAGCAACTGGATTTTTTGGGATGAATTTTGAGCATTCAGAGGGTCTAAGTTTCATTTCAAAACAAGACCGTTGACTTGATTGAAGGGGCTGGGCCCAATGGCCCATCTTGTTTGATATAGGGAAGAAAGGTAGGACGTAAAACCTCATTTCATTTCGATACAGGAATAACTACAACTATTTCTAATGCTGTTATAATTTATTCATTTTAAATAATCGGCCGATTATATTCAGGACAGTGCGTGGTTATTCTCCAAGTATATCTTGATTAGTTCTCTTTGTCTCCCGCTGAAATAGAACAGAAATTTATCAGGTTAGATTAGGTATTAATTATCTGAAAATCATCCCGGGACTCAAACCATACTGAGAGTAGGTACATCAACCATTATAAACACTCTATTAAAGGAAACGTAAAGAAACTTATATAAAAAAAGAATAGAGGTTATTGCTGTCAAGGTATAATGCGAAATTCGTAATAGCTTGACAATGTAAAGATGAAGAGAGACAGGATTTGAAAGTAGTCTAGTTATGGTAAAGGTGAGTGCTCTCCCTTGAATACTTTAGAAATAGCATCATTTTATATTGGTCTTTTTACTGTCACCAGAATGATTTTGTTTAGTTTTGCCTTTGTTCATAGTAATGTATTTTCACCAGTTACGTCCCTTGAAGTGTTTAAATTCGTCGGTCAAGTCGTCAAGTTGCTATTTATTTTGTTGGTGCGTACCTATTTGTATTAAAACTCCATTTATTTCATTTTCGTACCTATTTGTATAGTAAAACTCCATTTATTTCATTTTCGTACCTATTTGTATAGTAAAACTCCATTCATTTCATTTTCGTACCTATTTGTATAGTAAAACTCCATTTATTTCATTTTCGTACCTATTTGTATAGTAAAACTCCATTTATTT